GCCTCCATCCATCCGTCCCCAGCAACAACAAACCACAGCTGCTACACACCCGCCGCTGCGCTTCACTCGCTGCCGATTCTGTCAATCTGTGCCACGCGGAGAGAAAGAAGAGCGCGAGAAACACTCTCACCATATTCACCATGCCTCCTTGATCTGTACAGTACAGTATGAGTGTGTTTACAGTAGAAATGTGCAGAGTTTCTACACTGGCTGTGTGCGTCTGTGTGTGTGTGTGTGTGTGTGTCTGTGTGTGAGCGCGTGTGTCTGTGTGTGTGTGTGTCTGTGTGTGAGCGCGTGTGTCTGTGTGTGTGTGTGTCTGTGTGTGAGCGCGTGTGTCTGTGTGTGTGTGTGTCTGTGTGTGAGCGCGTGTGTCTGTGTGTGTGTGTGTCTGTGTGTGAGCGCGTGTGTCTGTGTGTGTGTGTGTCTGTGTGTGAGCGCGTGTGTCTGTGTGTGTGTGTGTCTGTGTGTGAGCGCGTGTGTCTGTGTGTGTGTGTGTCTGTGTGTGAGCGCGTGTGTCTGTGTGTGTGTGTGTCTGTGTGTGAGCGCGTGTGTCTGTGTGTGTGTGTGTCTGTGTGTGAGCGCGTGTGTCTGTGTGTGTGTGTGTCTGTGTGTGAGCGCGTGTGTCTGTGTGTGTGTGTGTCTGTGTGTGAGCGCGTGTGTCTGTGTGTGTGTGTGTCTGTGTGTGAGCGCGTGTGTCTGTGTGTGTGTGTGTCTGTGTGTGAGCGCGTGTGTCTGTGTGTGTGTGTGTCTGTGTGTGAGCGCGTGTGTCTGTGTGTGTGTGTGTCTGTGTGTGATTGAGCGTGCGTGTGTGCGTGTGTGTCTGTGTGTCTGTGTGTGAGCGCGTGTGTCTGTGTGTGTGTGTTTTGGGCTGAAGCGGTGACTCATGGTCTGGAGGGAGCGAGTGTGGAGCTGTGTGTGGAAGTGAGTTTGGAGGACGGCCAGAGGAGGAGTTTAGAGACGTGAAGAGGGAAAAACCCAGACTCTGTGCTCCAAGCAGCGCACTAAACTTCCCCTTCCACGTCAGCCAGTGTTCCTGAACCCAAACATACAGACCACACACTCGCTCTCTGCCATGTCGCTCTGAGAGACTGTGCTGTATGCTGGAGAAACTATTGCCGTACATGAACACAGTATGGAAATAACTAGTGTTAAGTGAACAGAAAGTGGCATTATTTGGTGCCTTTCTGCAGCATGGTGCATCTTAATCCAGTTTCTCAGTTTTTACACTAATTGTAGTTCACTGCAGTATTTTTTTTATACAAATGTTACAAACACATTTTTTATTTGTATGTATATATATATATATATATATATAGAGAGAGAGAGAGAGAGAGCTTGATTTAGTTATAGTTATTTTAATACTTCAACTTACAAAAACAAGAAATATTGAATTGGTAAGTAGCAAAAGTTTTGTAATTATTTATTTTATTTCAGTTAATGTTTATTTCATTCAAAGCAGGTTTATTAATGTTAACTAAAACTGATAAAACATTTTTGTTAATTAAAATGAAGCTGAAATATAAAACAACATACTAAATGAAAAACTTAAATGACTTATGTAATTGGCTAAATGTAAATGTAAATGAAAAAAAAACTTATTACTTATTATAAATTTAGAAATGTTGCTTTGGCAACTACCTGAAGTAAGTTTAAGTTGAAGCACTAAAATTACTAAAGTAGAATTAAAAACTAAAACTGACTCCGACTTAAGCTTAGACGTGCATTTTAGTCTGGTACTAGGCTTAAGCTTTGTCTGTGAAACTGTGGGTGAGTGGCTAACAATGAACAATATAACAAACCATCAACAATACTATATCGTATTTTTACTTTATTTACTAGTATATTTATAAATCAAAATTAACCTGAATTTAAAAACAAAAAACAATGCTGTTAAAATGTTGTTCATTGCTCATGATTTATTATATTAAACAATTTATTTAATACATTTATATTATTTTATTTTGTTTTTTTATGTGATATATATTACATATCCCCCTTTAAATTTATAGAAATGACATAAATCATGTCTTTAAGCTGTAAAAGTAGCAGGGTGATGAAATGATTTGATGCTGATCCATTGGTTGTTCAGACCTGCATCAATTTCTTTGGAGCACAAAAGGAGTTTTGAATCATGTACCGGTTGCTCTTTTCTATTCAGCTTGAATGAGCATTGAAGCTTCAAAAAGGACACAAGGCAACAAAACTTTATCATAAAAATGCAAAAAATTCAACTAGTCCTCTAGACAAGTCCAGTTTATGTACTTGAGGACTCATATGAGACATTGTAACATCACTAAGATCTCATGAAACACTCGATATCAGTCATTTTAAAGACTTTCCATATCCTGAATTTCCCCGAATGCATTCGTCCGTGTCCCGCATCCACACAGCTGTGTGTGTTAAACCTGACCAGACACGTTCCTCCTCCTGCTCCTCAAACTAAAGCGTTACTGTTATAGTTAAGCTGTGTGATGTGCAGTGCTCTGTTGAGAATGCTCATCCTGACTTTAGTGAATATCACGTTTGCATGTGTTGCAGATGAGCTGCTTTGGCCACGCAAACCCATCGACTCGAACCGAGACACATGAAGTCTGCAAATGAATAGAATCAACCCAGTTAAGATACAAAGCTGCAGAGACATACTTACTCCCAAGACTGAATGAAATAAGATGGTTTCCGTGTGAACTCTAGTGTTGGTTAGAGTTTGTTTTGTGATCTGAAACATGATTTTGTCGTGTTCAACCACAGTAAACTGAGCACTGTAGCGTTTCACACTCCGAGCTGCTGGGACAGATGGTCAGTTGTGATACAGTGATAAACCCTCAGGCCATCCCAGATCAGGATGAGTTTGTTTCTTCATCAGGTTTGTAGAAATGTAGCACTGCATCAGTGTCTCAGCAATGGATGCTCTGCAGTGAATGGGTGCCGTCAGAATGAGAGTCCAAACATCTGATAAAAACATCACAATAATCCACAAGTAATCCACAGCACTCCAGTCCATCAGTTAACATCTGGAGAAGACAAAAGCTGAAACTAATCCAGCATTAAGACGTTTTTAACTAAAATACATAGAGTCCATAATCCATAATAACGCTTCCTCCAGTGAGAAAGTGTTCTGGTCTGAATCAGGAGAGAAATCTGCACAGATCAAGCAGCGTTTAAACAGCTCTAAACAAACGCTGGTTACAAATTAATTTGTAAAGTGCATGATTATTATTATATTATTATTACTATTTAGAATATTTATATATTCACTCAATTATCTACAAGATCATAAAAACTGCATTCATAATTACAGAAAAAAGAGCAATATGTTTAAAATAGTTTTTGAGTTAAGCACGTTACAAATGCAGGGCACTGACTTAATAAAATGATATAATGTCACCTGCACATTTATGAATTTAGTTGAGAAAGTAGATTTGTGTTTAGAAATCATTTATAAAAAAAAAAGTTATAACGGTTATAAATTGATCTAAGAGTAATTTTTAAAATGTTACTTTAACAACAGGATATCTCGTATGATTTCAGTTTATTTGTTCCTGTCATTGTTTTAATGGTAGCTCTTTAAGTGCACAGATGTCTTGTGATTGTGTGAATCGTGTGCGCTGAGATGCTGAAGGCCTGCGCTGATGTTATGTAACGACAGCTTTAATAATAACTCCGTGCTGTCGTCAGGTTCATGTGAGTGAGAAATCTTCTGCTGTGTTTACATCTTCGCTCTGCTGTTCTCTCAGTAATTACTTCAGAATGAAAGACTGGCACAGAGCGCTGTGCTTCATGAAGACAGACACAATCTCCTGTGGGACTGAGTGTTAGTTTGGCAGAATATTCTTTATAGTGTTGATCTGCCTCTCTCTCACACACATGCTGTGTGTGTGTGTATATGTATATGTTGATGTGTGTAGCATGCATGACATGCGGTCACACGCTCGTGAGGCGACTGCAGCGCTGGAGTAATTGAATGATGCATGCGCTACACTGTTATTAAGAGGATTCATGTAATTTCAGCTCTGAACCGCTGCTGCACTTTTCTTTTTTTTCTGATGCAGTTGACAAAAGCTGGTTGTTTTCAAACTTTATTTTCTATATCAAATTAATTTAACTGGATAATTATTTTGATCTATTAAAATATTTTTTTTATATGCATTTTAACAGCGCAGCACACAACACAATTATATTAATGCACTTTATTAAACCTGCAACTGGAGAAAATATATAAAAAAATCATAATTTATGCAAAAATTACATTGCATGTTTCGTGGCAGTTTTAAAGTGTAATGTCTAAAACGTGACGTTTTCTCTGAAACATGTTATGTTGCTTCATGCATATATTGTAGCAGTATTAGTTTACAAATCATGCAAATACAAAAATAATTGTAAAAAGTTTTTCTGCTACTAGTTCATCTCAGTCAGAAGTGATTTTTGGATTTGATATTACATTTCTGCATCTACGGGTTTTCTCAGAAATGTTACACAAGACTGTGTTTTGCCTGTGGGCGAGATTCTTGATGAACTTTGATGATAACCACACAGAGACTGATCTGGCTTACACTGCAAGGTTTTATATGAATGATCCATGAGGAGCTGCTGTGTGTTTGTGTGAAGTGAATTATCCGAGGGTCTTACTCTTCACTTCAGCTCTCTCTTATGTCTCTGGGGTGTTTTTTTGACTTGGCGCAGACTTCAGTGAAAAGGCCGCTGAAGTTGTTTTTTGTTCGGCTTTTATTAGCATGTCAATGACAGAGCTTTTGACAGCCAGGTGTGCCTCCGTCATCCAAACTCACACTCACACACTCGCGTCTGGCCTCTTTGTCTTCAAAGGACGCTTATCTCCAGTCTCGGGAGTTGTCTTCAACCATGCGTGTTGTGTGCAGGATTAGCGATTGAGAAGAGTTTTGCATGTTGAGATGAACCGTCATCAGATGATAATGCTGCAGTTTCACACTTCTGCCAGCTCTTGTTTGAACAGCTTTCTAATCTCTTGTTCTTCTGTCCTGCAGATCTGGGACATGAGCGACGACGAGAGCATCTGAAGAAACCGCTGGAGACGCAGAATGAAGCTCCTGTAACTAGCTCGTGTGTGCTCTTATATTGGTTTCTCAGACAGTGACCTCACTGCACAATGACCCTTCATCATATACTTGTTGAAATATTTAACCATTCACATGAAATCACATTATAGCTGTCAGAGTCGGGATAGACACCAGAGATCTGCTCTGGTCTAGACATCGAGTCCAGCGTTGAGCGGTCTTAAAAATGTCATTTACGCACCCTCATATTGTTAAAAAAACCCAGACTTGGTTCATCTGAAGACTTGGTAACCATTCAGCTGACGGTAGCCATTGACCTCTATATTTTGGAAAAAATACTATGGAAGACAATGGCTACCGTCAACCGTTTGGTTACCAACATTCTTCAGAATATCTTGTTTAAAACAATGTGAGAGAGTAAATGACAAGATTTTTCATTTTGGGGTGAACTTTCTTTCCAAATCATGTTTTCAGATCTCCATGCCCATAGTTTTTGTCCACTGGACAGTTTTTGGGAAGGCATTTCATCAGCCATGATTTCCAAGGGCCGTTAAATATGGCATCTGTGCTGACTAAGATCCTATCTTCAGGCTCTTTTTTTTTTTAAACTGGCCTAATGTTCATTAAAAGTGTATTAGATTGTTTATGGCAGGGGTCTGGACCTTCCCTGAGTTCAATGCCAATGCTAACACACCTGAACAGAAGAGCAGTGAACTCTCCGTCCTCGCACCACTGCACTGTAACTCTAGAAATGTGGCATTCTGAAATTCGCCATTTGTGCTCATAATAAACATGAAATCTATTCACATAATCCATTATGAAATGTCCTGTCATATTTGCTTGCTTTTGGTCACTTAGGTCAGTGAGTTGTAATCACAAGGTTAGCACTCGAGCTCTTTCTCTGTGATGCTCCTGGTCTCCGTCTGTGTTGTAGGTCATGGGAAAATGAGGCCAGATGAAAGACTACGTTTCCTGACACGTGCTCAGTGATGATAGAGCAGTGAAATCATTTCATTGTTCACAAATTGCAGTTAGCTCTAGTGGAATTACAGTAACTAAAGCATTTAATTTTTTCCCCAAATGCAATCAGTTTTCACAACGGATGAATCATAAGTCACGGCTGTGGTTTAAGAGCACTTTATTGTTCATTGAGGCTACTTAAAAGTACAAAACAATGGCCTGCCAAAAGTTTGTTTTATTCCAAGAAGAAACAAGGCCAAGAAATGAGGGTATAATACAGCTTTACAAATCATTAAGTACACTCGAGGTGCAGCGAGAAGTGTTTTAAACGTTGGTTTGTGTCGTCGTTCTCCTGGAAGCGCACATCAAATAGAAAATCTCGTTGCTCGACTCTCGAGCGACGGTACTGGAGTGCAGTAAGTCGCTGGGACTCGAGTCTGTTTGTTCAATTGTCTCCAGAGACAGTCGAAAGCCTCCGTTCAGAAGTGTGTCGAGACTCAGTAGCCTTCAGAAATAATACACAAGTGGCTGTTACACTAACGCAGTGTTTTCATAGAATTACGGTGTTCCTGCACTTTAAACTTAGACAAAACCTACAGAATCCAGGGCTGATGGAATGTAAGGACGAGCTGGAGCGTCTCCTGTATCTGCAGGCTCTAGTGAGTAGCTACACTGAACACAAGACCTGCACGCCGTTCCCTATCGGAGGAATGTGTGTGATTCGGTACAGGCCGACCGCTTCGACAGCCCAGCGCAGAATTAGGAGAGGATGAAGAATAACAAACGCACACGAAACTAGCTCGACGTTTCCGGCAGATTGTCAACGCTACAGTTGACCTGTCAATAGCTGCGAATGCTCTTTTTTCAGTCATGCAAAGCGACAGCATCCTGTACCACCGATTAATAACAACATACAAAACCAACCGTTAATATATAGATGGCCTGTCCGGAGGCTGATTTCTCTTCTGTATCTGGCAGCTACCACAATGAATATTGAATAGAAAATAATAATATGGAGTACAACTGTACCAGCAGTAAGTTTATCTAGGACTGTTACTGACAAAAATAAGAAACTTTTTTCCCAAAAAAAAAAAAAAAAAAAGCATGATTACAATAAAGGACAAGGGAAAAATTAAATAGCTACATATCATTAACAAATGAATTGTTCCTCAAAAAATACCTACGATTTTTTCTCTGTACATTCGTTACGCACAGCGTAATGATGGTCTTATAGTTTCCTATATAAAAACTTTGTTTTTAAGTGATTTACCTACAGCGTGTAGGGTAACGTGGGTCACAAGCAGAAAGTGAGAAAGTGTCCTACCCAGTAAAACGGTAGTTAGTGAGTGAGTGTGTGTGTGTGTGTGTG